TTCAGTTCACAGTTATTCAAGCCTAAGGGCAAGGATGTCTTGCATACCTATTATGTGCCTAGCTCTGTAAAAATCAGGCAAACAATGAATAGCAGCCTCTTCCCATACCTGTGAGTGGCTGGGTCCTGCTGATGTTGGATTAGACAGCCACACAGAAGCCCAAAGCAAGCAATCCTGCCTGAGGGCTCAGGAGAGTGAAGACAGACTGAAATTTAGGAAGAAGCAAGATGCTGCAGATAGAAGAGGAAAATGGACGGAGAAAGAGGGTCAAAGGAAATTTTCCTCATTATCGCAAATCTACAAACTTAATTGCTTCTGCCCTATCCTGGTGCGTGAACGTGTGTGTACGTGTGCATGTGTGCGCACATACACACACATCATAACAGCTACCCTATCCCCTCCATACACACCTGAGCTCTGCTTTCCATATCTCTGAATGCTTCCTTCCTGAGCCAGCATCAGTTTAACAAACGCTAGGTCTCTGCCATGTTAAAACAAACAAGTGCTGGGCCTATCCTCTGTCTGCAGCCTTCTCTCTGTCCTCTCTACGTGGTACCTTTACACTGTCTCATTCTCACCCGCCCTTTCCCCTGGCTCCGTCCACCCACAACACTCAGCATCCATTTACCACTAGGGCCACTGGCAAGTATTCTGGAAGGGGAGCTAAGTGGTTCAGATTTAGATAACAGGGGTCTGAGCCTCAGTTCTGTCATGTCCAAGCACCAAGGTGCTAACTTTTTTGAATTGCTATCCCTCATCTGTAAAATAAGTATGGGTTTATGAGAATTTAGTACAACATTGGATAACGTATGTGACGTTCTCAAAGCACAGTACCTGGCAGACAATATGGATAAGTAAAATGAGCTCCTATCTTTCCTTTATGTCCATTTATTCCTTTATCATCCTAATTGTACAGAGCCTCCTGCAGCATCTTTAATAGATGACAACGTCCTAGCTGAGATGAACTTTTGTGGTACCCACTCTCCTTGTTTCGCTCCTCACTCTCTGATGGCTCTCTCTCCTACTTTTGTGGCCCTGTCCCTCTGCTGAACCCAGGGAGTTGTATTCATAGAGGTTGAGTCTTTTGAATTCTAAAATGTTTTCACTACTCAATTTTCAAACTGTACTTCAAATGAATTAGTTAATTTTCTCCTGGCTTGCAAATTTTAAGTCTAATTGCCTACTAACACAGATACCATACATTCTGTATTGTAGAAATAGAACTAAATATTCTATGATTTTTTGTATTCATCCTTTGTCAGGGAAAAAGCCATACCCAGCTAGGTGTTCAAATCAGAACGTGCTTGGGGATCTCATGTAAACCAGGGTACAGAAGGAAGGACCGAAATCCAAAAGAAGACCAGAGGAAACAGCTACCAACTATTTAGCA